CGCCGCACAGCTGCCATCAAAGGGCGCTCCCCGCTCCAGCACAACCCCGGGGGCAGAAGCCCCGCCCGAGAGACGCGGCTCCTCCCCACCCTGGCGGAGTCCCGGCCAAGAACCGCACGCCACCTCCCCGCCGAGCGGGCTCCTCCGGGCGGGGGAGGAGACGGGAAAGCAAAGCCAGCTGGGAGCAGCCCACCCCCGGTCTCCCGCGGATACCGAACCCCCCGTACTCCCGCACCCCCCGTCTCTCAGGGGAGATCCCCTCCGAGAGCTCTCACCTTCGACGACTCCGCAGAGGAAGCGGCGGGAGCCCAGTGCGGTCTCCGTCTCGGTGTCTGTCTCCTCGCCCCCCGGGACCGGCCCTGCGGTGGCGCCCGGGGGCTCTAARGGGGCGCCGGGCACCCCGGTCGGGTTGGGACTGCCCTGGGGCTCCTCCAGCGCCGCCTGCCCCTCCTTCTGCACCATCCTGCCGCCCGCCGCCAGCGCCGCCGCTCGCCGGGCCGAGCCGAGCCGAGCCGCGTCCCTGCCGTGCCCGCTCCGCAGCCCCTTTGTCTCCGCCGCTCCGGGGCCTCCGCCGCCGCTTCCTGTTTACGGGGCGCTGCGCCTGCGCGGGGAACCGGCCCCAACCGGTCCGCGCCGCTCCGCCCGCAACCGCCCCGCTCCGAGGGACCGCCGCGGGRGCCGGGAGAGCGTCTGCCTCGGCGGGAAGAGAGCGAAGGACGCGGGCGGTCGGGACCTCGCCGGTGGAGCGGGAACAACGAGCTGAGGAGCWGGAGGCTCTTCACGGAATGAGGCGGGCGGGCGGTGCGCGCGCTCTGCGCAGGCGCGGGGCAGGGAGGGCGCGCACTGCGCGTGCTCGGCGGGCCGGCAGCGGGAGGGGCGCGGCCGCGGAGGCCTCAGGGCGCTTGCGCGGGGAGGCAGCGCGCACCCGCAGCGCACGCGCGAGGGGCCGCGGGGACTGAGGGGGAAGCGGCAGCGGGGCAATGCGCATGCGCTGTAGGGTTTGTGTAGGGAAGCGGCGCCCCGCGAGGGGGGAGAGAGGGTGGGGAATGAAGTGTTTACGTCGGGTTTGCGCATGCGCCTCGCGAGCAGCGTGCGCACAGGACTGGGAGTGCGCCTGCGCAGAGCGCGCGGGCTCCCGTGAGGCGTGACCCACTTCCCGCAAGCGGATCGGGGTCCGTCGGGGCCGCGGCACCCAGGGGAGAGCTCCGAGCGCTGCCCCGACCCTCCTGGCACTGCACAGCCCGCTCGGTGACACGCTGGGAGGTGTTACCGTGCCAGGAAGAGGCCACGAGAATGCTGAAGGGTGGGATCCAAAGCTKAGATGGTATCAGTATCAGAGGAGGGGACTAAGGTCACACAGGGTCTCTCCACAGAGAAGCTGCAGCTGCATGGGAACACGAGGCAGGGACCCCAGGGCTGAGAAGATAACCTCCCTTGTGGCTATGGGGAGAGGCCAGCAAGATGATCTTACCTGCCTTCACAGCAGTGGGGAGGCTGCAGCAGATACCRGCCACCAAGAAACGAGTTAGCAAAGAGCTACAGAAAATCTCAGCCCGTGAGGAAACGTTGGAGAACGCCTGCAGACATCAGGGCAGACACTTCACATTTCAGCCACGTTTCAACTTGTTCCCACTGATGACATTCGGGCATGACAAGAAACTGAAGACGGCTGCGTTTCCGGCACCATCAGTGTCTATGCTCAGGAARCTGCAGCAGAGCCCCTTGCCAAGGAGCATCTCTAGTTACCACCATATTCAGGCCAAAGCTTTCAAAGAGCAAAAATAGAAATTGTACAGATGCCCTAAATAGTAACCAGCTAAATTGTATTGATACACGACCAGACTTTACAGAAGGGTTAGAGAGGAGAAATGCACAGAATTTGGGTGGAGAGCACATAGGACTTTCATACAGCTACAGAGCTGGGCGGTGACTACAGGGTCAGAAAGGACCCTGAAGTGGTGCTCATATCTCTGGTCAAATCTGTCAAAGTTATCCTGCAGTAATAGTTCTCCCAGTATTGGAATCTCATCCTTTTACAAAATGTATGCGGTTTAGGCAGTGTTCAGGATGCTGGAATGAATCATTGCCCCAGGCTGCATCAGCTGCCTCATCCAATTGTGCAGCTGTTTGACCAAATAGTACCTATTAATTTTTCCTCTGAAAGCTGGGAAAAAACTTTATTGGTAACAACACAAGGCTGCTCTTTTCAAAGAATCCAGCAGCTCTTATCTCTGTTCCCATCACAGACAAAATGACTTAGCTGCTACCCACCCTTCAATGCCACTTCCTGCTAACAAAGGTCATCTGAGCCCTGACTCATATAGCAACTTCTCATAGCAAGCTGAAGGCACACTGATCCAGGCCTCCCTGCCCTGGGGCCCTTCCATAGGGCCTGTTTGGGGGAGAGTTAAACRGATTATTTTTGACTCCCAGAGATACTTTCCCACCCCAATAGCTACAATCCATGCACAAACATTTTCCCATTGCTGTGAARAGGCTACGGCAGCATTTGAAGGCTGAGCCCCAGAATGTTATTTTTACCCATTATCACCTCAGCCTCTTTCCTGGCCTTCACCCTGGGGACGAGGACCCAAGGGATCTCATCAGTGGCTCACAGCATCCTTGTRCCACAAGAGGGCACATCAAGCCCTTGGATGTCATTGCCCGAAATAGCAACGAGGCAAACAGAACTCAGGGGAYAGGATATACCAGGAAAAGTGGGTTAGAGGGGAAAATGTGCTCAGGCCCATTCATACTGCCATACACAGCTGTGGGTAATGGCCAGTAGCCCATAAAGGTCCCTGGAAAGTCAGAGGCTTTGGAAAGATCAGACTTGCTGCTTGCCCCAGTCCACAATGGTAATTCCCCCCATAGGCAGAGCCCATCCTTTAAAGATGTTTCTTGAGCTTTCAGTTCCTGGAGCACAGACTGGATAATGCTGTGCTGTTTTGCTGTCACACATCAGGTCCATTACTCTTTTTTCCACTGCTTTCTTGCTTACCTGACTCTGTTTTGTTTTCCCCAGTTCTCTGTGTTGGACTTTTGCAACAACCGCTGATTGCCCATCAATTCATGTCCCTAAAAGAAAACCCTTTCCAGTCCATACCTCTCTCCTCAAGGTGCTATGTGACCACAAGCCTCCTAGCTTAGCCTTAAATACTTCATCCTAACAAGGGCCACCTGGTCCCAATCTCAAGTTTACCCAACAGCATCTGTGACAAACTGAAAACACCTGGCAGCCCTGCTCCTGCAATGTGACACACTGAATGTAGGAGCCTTTTAGCCTTAACAGCCTCTTACCACAGGAAGTGTGTATTTATAGGCATAGCCAAGCTCAGTGTGCACCCTGTCCCACATGCAACCTCCCAGAGCAACGATGCAGAGCACCCTGCAGCCACAGCACCCCAAAAAGGATACCAACCCTTTGCTGAGACCCCTCATTTTCCCTGCCCCACCATCCCAGGCAGCTGACAGATGCAAAGACATAACGGTGGTGTGCATAGCGATCGTGGTTAGATTTTATTGGTTTTTGTTTTTCTTTTTTTTTTTTTAACCCATATAATTGTTATAATACAAAATATACAGACTGGAGATGCCAAGCGGGTTGTGGGTCACCATGCCCGGGGGCAGGGGTCACACCATGCGACCTACAGCGTGAGGGGGGAAGGCGGCATCTGCTCCACGTGGTGGGGGACAGTGGGTACCCCAGAGAGCTTGGGAGGAGGGAAAACAGGGCCAAAGAGATGGAGGGGTAAGGCCCTCACACCCTTAGGAGAATGCAAGTGGGAGCCTTAGCCCCACAGCAAACCCGGGAACAGGTCTGTGAGATGAACAGTGTGTTGAATGAACCTAAAAAACACATCATGTCTGCGAGATGAATAATGTGTCAAATGAGCCTAAAAACACATCATATTTGCAAGGGCTGGGATGGGGACAGTCCCCCTGGGAAGCAGCCCTGTGGCTTTAGCTCAGTGCCCCACGGGGTAAATTCTAGTGTCTCCAACACCAAAGGCTCAGCCTGGGTCTGGGGCCTGGCCCAGCATGGGTGCTGATCCCAGATATCACAGCTCAGGCCAGCCCAAACYACCCCTGGCCAAGGATACAGCGGGTGGAGCCACAGTCAGGGGCTGCCAGGGCTGGGTACATTCCCAGTGCCTGTGAGGGAGGACTTCTAGGGTTAGCATAATTATTAGGGAAAATTAGCCCATGGGCATCACTCTCCCAGCTATGACTTGGAGTGGTATGTGGGCAGGGCAGGCTGCCTGCACACACTCATCTCCAAGARGTGGGTGGTGACAAAGACACCCAGGGTCCACATCCCCAAGGTCCCCAAGCAGGCTGTCACATGGCCGTGCTGGGAAAAGGAGATGAGCCCCCCACCCCAAGGTGACCCTCCAGCCTGCCAGCAGCATGGCAGTCACTCCTGTCTAACCCAGCCTCAACTTCTCCTCCAGGGGCTGCCAGCCCAGCCATGTCACCAGCACAGGGCTATGCCTGTGGGGACACCTCTCTACCTCATTGCTCATACCCCAGTCTCCRGGGCAGCAGGTGTGCTGGGCTGGGCCAGGGAACAGGAGCAGGGCAAGGGCTGCAGCAAATAATGCCAGGAGCAGGGCTGTGAACCCCATAGACCAGAATGGCCACCAGAGACCAGCCCATCTCCCTCTTCCACGTGTTCTCATACCCTGGCTCTTATGCCCTCAGGAAGGGTTTGGAAAGGGTGTCTCTCCATTTGAGCCTCAAAGGGGATCCCTGGGATCCTCCAGGATCCCAAACCTGAGGGACAGGAGCTGATGTTGCAGCTCTCCCAGCCCTGCATCCTCCATGTTGGGGGATAAGTGCCACAAGAAGTCACCTGGGGTTCCCTTTAGCCTCCCCTCTCCCCCTGTCAGGACGAGCCTCATAGGTCTAACTGGGATCCCTGGGATCAGGGGATGTTCCCCATAGCTCATGCAGCAGAGAACCCCGAGGACCCATGTGGCTGCTTTCTCCAGGCCCCTCTGCCCATCTCTTGGCCCAGTGTCAGGACAGGGAGGGTGGCCAGCAGCTCACAGCYGACATTGCCAGACACACTCCCCATGGCAGGGCACAGCCAGGGCAGGGGAGGAAGCTGAGGCACTGGTGCCCATTGCAAGACTTTATTGGTTTCTAGATAATGTCGCTGGAGGATTTGGGCTGGAGCCGGGACTGGGGGCTCCTGGGGCTGGGGAGGATCAGGGGTATGGGAGCTGTGGCTGCACAAGKTGGTGTGCACGGGGAAAACCTCTATGGCAGCCCAAGGGTGCATTTTTTCCACCAGGATTGGATGCAGGGAGGTCCATCCAGGTGAAATGCTCGTCTTGTGCCAGCCATTCCCACACTCCGATGTCTGGGAGCACCTGCTTGGGATTCCCCGAAGAAAGGAGAGCTGGCCCAGGGGCAAGGGAAGATCTCAGAGTCGACTGCATCTCAGGGAAGGAAGGCCCCTTTCCATGGGGGTGTCTGTGCAGCCAGAGGAGGGGAGTCTCAAAGGAAAAGTCAAGAGAGAGAAGCAGGTTCTGGGCCCAGTGTCAGGAGAGCTCGTCTGGAGGCAGGTCCAGGAGCTAAATCACGCTGTCAAAGAGCTGCATGGATCGCATGATGTTTTCATCCTGTAGGGAGCAGGTGGGAATCAGGCAAGTTGGGCACAGAACAGCAATCTGGGCAGCTCCCCCAAACCTGGCTTTACCCTCATAGCAGCTCTGGCACACGGGACAAGAGCCACAGGCAGTTTCCAAGCCATATTGGGATGCATGGCTCTCCTCATCTGTACAATGATGCTGGCATGGGTACAGCTCCCAAAGCAGAGCTCCAGCCTTGCCCCTAGGAGCCCTGACTTCACCCCTGCCCCGCAGGAAGGAAGCAGGAGGGACAAAGGTCCTCAAGGAAGAGAGTGGTGACCTAGTTCAGAGCAGAGCTGCTGGGGACTTTACCTTCTGGCAGGACTCCAGGAACTCCTCGATTGTCACCACACCATCCTTGTTCCGGTCCATTTTCTGCACACAAGCACAGCACAAAGGGCATGGCAGGGATAGCCCCAGCCCCAAGGAAAGCCTGGTACCCCCTTCCTAGGTCCCACAGGGGCTGCACACAGTGCATGCCCCAGCACCAGCAGGAGTAGCACAGCCCTTCTTCCTCTCCAGAGCAGGGTGTTTTCCACTGCACCCACTGAAGCTCTGTGCTGGAGCTSTGCTTCCCCAGCATGTGCTCAGCTCACCTGGAAGAAGTTCTCCACGTGCTCCCGGGGCGCTTCCTCCCGCATGGCCGGGTAGGTGTATTTGCCCATCATGTCGTAGATGGAYTTCATGATGTCCAGCATTTCCTGATGGGAAGGGGAGCAGGGTTGCAGTGTCAACACTGGGCTTTGTCTCCACCTGGTGCCCAACCCACACCTTTTTCTTGATGCTCCTGAAGGATCTGTGGGGTGCTCAGGTGCATTTCTGTTTGCTCTGTGCACAGTGTGGGACCATGTGCATGTGGGATGGAGCCCCAAAGCTGCACACCACTCATCCACCCTCCATCCCAGAGACACACCAGTGCTGGAGGGGCAGGAGGGACATGTGCAAAGCTGATCTCAGTCAGTTAAACATTGACTCCCTGAGCTCTCCTCCAGAGTTCAGCCAATACCCCCAAGTTCTGCCCTTGTCCAGTGCAGACCTGCCCTGGCTGTGGGGACCAATCTGGACTCCCCCATCCCACCTCTTTGGTGATGCAGCCRTCTTTGTTCAGGTCATAGAGGTTGAAGGCCCAGTTCAGGCGATCATCAATGGTGCCCCGCAGGATGGTGGACAGCCCAGACACAAAGTCCTGCAAGGATGGACAAGGCAGGCAGATGGGAGTTATGGCCACAAAGGGCCTCAGAGACAGAGGGCACAGCCCTGTTTGGTTTTCTTGCAGAGAGGAACTCAGCCCCAAAGCAGATGTGCCCTGAGGGTGGGCTGACAAGGTGAAGTRTTTGGTATCAAAAAGAGTCTGGGGAGAAAAAATTGCTTAACCCCATCCATCTCCCGCACTAGTCCCTTGGGTCACAGCAACCAAGAGAATAATGTGCATCATGACCTGCTGTTCAGCCGTGGCTGTGTCTGCCAGCCTGGGTACCTTCACAACCCTACCCAGAAAATACAGAAAGCCCCTTTTTTGTTGCTTTTCACTGGTTTGATACTGCCTCTGGGAATTTAATAAACTCCACTAGGCCTGTAAAGCTCTTCACCCATCTGTAACAGCAACATTGCTGACCCCAGCCCACAGTCCCTAGAGGGATGTACTCTCCTTGCCCTGCTGCACCCCCTCCTTGGCCACAACTCACCTCAAAGCTGACAGAGCCATCGTGGTCAGTGTCGAAGGCATTGAAGAGGAAGGTGGCGTAGGTGCTGGAGTCTGCAGGGAGGCACACAGTGTGAGGGGCTGCAGTGTGACCCTCTGCGCCACAGAGGCACCCATGTGTATGGGGACAGGGATGGGTATGGGCACTCACCGCCTTGAGGGAAGAACTGTGAATAGATCTGCTTGAARTTTTCTTCGTTGACAATGCCGCTCGGGCACTCCTGCCAGGGCAGAGCCACAGTGTCACTTCTACCTTACAATAAAGAACTGAGACACCCCTGAAACCCTGTGGCTCCCTTGCCTTGCCTCCCAGTCCTGTCCACCTGGTGGAGTGGCTGGTAAGGCTGCGTGGAGCACCTCCCAGATTTTTTGGGCTGCCCCCCTTGCTGGAGGGGCTCTTCATGCCAGGCACCCAGGAAGGGGGCTCTCTGCACCCAAGGCCATGGAGCACAGGATCAGGTCTCCCCACTGAGCTCCCTGGAGGTAAGGTCAGGCTGAAGCCTTACAGAAACTTCAACCCCAAGGTCCCAAAAACCTTCTCAAACAAAGCACCACCCCAAGGTGGACATGGCAGCAGAGGTGGGRGCTATYAGAGCTGGTCAAAGGGTACTCACATTCTTGAAGCCTCGGTACAGGACCTGCAGCTCTTTGCGGGTGAACTTGGTCTGCTCCTGGAGCTGATCCAGCCCCTCGGGGCGGTGGCAGACGGTGGAGAGCTCAAACTCATCCTCAACACTGTCTGCAAGGAATCCAGGGGAAGAGAGAGTGGCTGAGGCCAGCATTGTCCTGCTTACCTTGTCAGGCCAGGAGAGGCACCTTGCACAACACACCCCATCCTCTCACACCTGACTTATTTTTGGGGGCTCTGCCCAGCCAGAGTTGGGTCTATGCCACCAGGGGACACTCATAGACACCCTGGGGCAGACCAAGGACTGACTGGGCAACAACCCCCCCCTCCAGTGCAGCCCAGGCTGGGCAGAAAGGAGGTGTGAAAACCCCCCAGTGCTGAGACCCTCCCCACCTGCCCTTCTCTCACCAGCACAGGCATCTGCCCTGCAGAGTTGGGTCCCTGGACATCCTGCAGGTCCGTGCAGCACCAGGGCTGACATCCAGCCTTGCCCCTCAGTACCCTCAGCCCCAAATGCCGCCCCCAGCCTATCCAGATTCCATCCTGCCCGCTGTGCTYCCACCTTTGTCGATTGCTTCTCTCCTCCATCTGCCAAGCTGCACAGCCCCTGCCTGTAGCAAGCAGCACCCCCAGACCCTGCTCAACCTAGAGGGGCASACAGCAGGTACCCCCTCTCCATGGGATGGTTCAGATCCTGCCCCTCCATACTCACCTTTTCCCAGGGGGGATTGGCTCACACTGCGGGGAGGATCTCTGCTGGGAGATATCCTGATGTGGGGCTTGAATTTACCAAGGGGCCAAGCATACACAGTGCAGGGGATTAAGGAACCCTGCACTCACTCCCTGCTCAGCCTCTGTCATCCCCCATCACACCTTCATCCCAAACTGACCCTGAACTTAGAGAAACAACCCYCCATCCCTTAAACCAGTGCCGGGAGGGCCCTGCTGCCCTGAGCCAGCTCCCAAGTGTTTCTTGCTGCTGTGCATCCCGTGGGAGCTGCTCCAGAAAGCTGAAGAGGGAGAAAACCAGCCTGTGAGCAGGTAAAGACAGAAGTGGGTGCAGAGCCCATGGGATCGGACCCCTCCAGGSCAGGGCTGATCCTGACAGCCAGGGCAGGGGAGAGGTGAAGGCGTCCCCTTCCCACAGGCAGGGCCGGGACGGAGAGCAGGCAGCAGCACCGCCGGGGACAAACACACACAAAGGCAAGAAGAAGCACTTGCTTTCACTGAGCGAGGGGATGGATTTGGGCCGGCAGCAGGGCAGCAGTTTGAGGAATCGCTGCTTCAGCACTTTTTTAGTTTGGACTGGCGGGTTGCCTGGAAGAAAGAAGGAGTCACCAAGCAGAAGAAGAGTTAACAGAGCATCAGCCCCCGGTCCCGACGGGCAGCAGGGTTGGGCACYAGGCGCAGGGTGAGCTAGGCAGAGRCAGCACATGCAGCGTGAGGCTGGAGGAGCAGGAAGGCAAAACCCAGCCTGGGCTCTGGTCAGCCTTCCTGCTCCATCCCAGGACAAACCCGGCAAGGGAGTACCTGTTCTTGGGAAGGATGGGGGCAGCCCCATTAGGCTACCCATACCCAGTGCCTCTGCACCCCCATCAGGCCAGGGTGAGGAGACTGCCAGGAGCCCAGAGAGACAGGAGGTGGAAGGGCCAGACTCTGTCCTTTAGCCTTGAGGACAAATACTTGCTCCCTGGGGACCCTCCCCAGGGGCTCTGCAGGAGGCAGGGTAGGATGAAGCCCAAGAAACAGCCTGTGGCTGAGCCAGGGCATTGCATCCTCCCCAAGCTCAAGCTGGGTTTGATCCTGCTGGCGCCCAAGGTCTGAAGGCAAAGCATGCACCGGCTCCTCAATGCAGCCCAGACTGCAGCATGCACCCCCACCCCAGTGCAGCACTGCGACCCGAGCCCAGGGACCTGCTTTGAGACAGCCAGAAGGGGAACGGGGCTCAGGGCTTTGCCTTGGCCAGGCTACAGGGCAGGGTGTGACACCCCACACCAGCCTGGCCCATGGCCATCGCAGCCAAGTTGCCCTGAATTAAATAGTCCCCTCAYCACACTGACCCAACTGCCACCCCTTCTTCCCCATTTGGACCCCAATGGCTTCACTCAGCCCCATCTCTYCCAGCTGGTGTTGCCCCATGGCTGCAGACCCCCTCCCTCCCTCCCTCCCTTCCCACAGTGCCTCAAGCCAGCAAACTCAGCGCAGGACTAATGCTGGGTTGGGAAAGGAGGGAGAGGAGCAGATGAAGGCCATGCTGAGCTCCAGCTTCCAAGGGGAGGCAGACAGCAGCATGGGGACAAATGGAACGAAAGGTGCAAAGTCCTTTTGGAGCTCTGGTTTCTCACTGTGTTTGCTCCAAGCATCCCAGACATCTGCAAGCAGCAGGTCATAATGCCTATGCATCCTGAGCCCTGGTTTTGTTTTTTTTTTTCTCTAGGGTTCTAGCAGATAGCTGCCAGAGAAGCCCTTTCTCAGCCTTGTAGGGTTAAGCTGAGCCCCAGATAGCAGGGAAAAGGTGTTGCATGGTACCCAGGTCCAGGACAGGGACATGGGTCTGCATTCAGCAGCCACTGCTGGGCAGGTTGGCCCCAAAGTGCCCATAGGCAGAACCTGGGACTCTTTGAGCTCACACCAAGGTAGCTCCATCATTTTGGGGGAAGGAGAATAACTCCAGGAGGTCATTGTCCTAGCAAGACTTCACACAGAGCCACTCAAAGAAGGCAAACTCTCCTCAGGGATGCAGCAGGTTGATAGTGATGTGCAARCATACAGGGATGAACAAACACACCCCCTGGCACTTGTCAGGGGTGACAGGGACAAGGGTGAGGACCAGGATCTTGACACTGGCAGAACAGCACAGTCTGGCTCCTGTCTGGTCCAAGGTTTGCACAAAGGAAAGAAGATTTTTCCTTCCTAGAAGTGAGCATCAGTTGTACATAAACCATGATTTTGGCCCAGCTACCCTTCCATGGCCTTAATTTGCAGAGGGAAAGGGATTTGCACCTTTCAGCCTTCCAAGGATGCTCTGGAGCCAGGTCCCTCCAGCAGAGCTGAGCTGTGGGAACAGACCTGGCAGGCAGAAGTATCCTCTTTGCTGAGAGGGAAGGGACAGGGTGGGCAGAGCAACACCCAATGCCAGGGTGATGGACCTCGGAGGGAGCAGGGCAGGAGGGAAACCACACAGCGAGAGAGATGCAACAGAGAGTAAACTGTGGTTGGACTCACAGGGGCAGCAGGTATAGGCACGTGCAGTAGGTCAGGTCGGGTGCAAGTTACACTTTAGTTTGTTATAAAGAAGGAAAAAGAAAAAAAAAAAATAAAGAACATGGGCGTTTTCTCGAGGAGGAATTCAAAGGGGCCCCAATTCCAGGGTCCCCTGGGACAAGAGAGGGAGCACATTCAGCACATGCAGCTTAACAACAGGARAGAGGTGACCAGGACTGGGGTTTTGCTGTCCTGGCTTCAGTGAACACAAGGCTCTGCTGGGTAGGACTCACAACCCTCTTTCTGTCCCCAGCATCCAAATCTGGGAGCTGCCCCTTGTTTGGAAACAGCTCTGCCCAAAGACAAGGAACAGAGCCCAAGCAAGTGCTGCCACTGTGGACACAAGGGACATTGCAGCACGAAGCCCCGTCCTTGCCAGCAACAGCTCCTTTTCCAGATGCCGTTCTGCTCTCCACCCTTCTGCAAGGGCCATCCAGCAGCTGGCACAGAACAAAAAGGCCTGGCAGTGTTTTATCTATGGCAGGAGGTCTGCTGGGTTAAGTGGCTTGTCACTTCCCATCACTCCACAGCTCGGCAACTTCAAAACACACACCAACACACACAAACTGAGACTCCATCCTTGAGCAGCACCAGAAGGGAAAGGGAWTTCCCATCCCCAGCTCCACACGCTGTTGAAATGAATCCCAAAGGCTGTCTCTGAAGGGACCTATAGTGGGTAGATCCCTGTCTCCAGCAASGATTGCCATCAGGATGGCTGTGAACCACTTTGTATTGAGCCACTGGCAGCTGATGTGTCCTTGGGGGCTGGATCCAGCCAATGCCACCATGGTGAGGGTCACCCTTCCCAAGGGGCTTGGCTGACACCCCCTTCCCAAGCCTGGSATGCTCCATGGTCTCCCCAGAAAAAACGCAGGAGACAGAGTCAGTCTGATGCATAACATTGTCCCTGTCCTTCCACAGAGCCACAGCCACCAGTGCTCTCCCAGTGACAGCTGGCTGGGGACACAAACCCATCCTTTCCATGGCACCCTCCTGCTAGAAAACACCTTACAATAACAAACCAACAAAACYCCGCCATCACTCTCAGTAACCTGTCAATAAATGTGTCATCATGATGGATGGAAAAGGKGCGTCCCACAACAAGATCCCCACAGTGTCCCCAGCCCAGCTCCTGGGGACAGCACCATTCCAGGAGAGGAGCAGAACACCAGCTCCTCTTCTCCCCTCCCTCTGCTGTACTACTAATTGCTCCTCTGATCTCTCCTATCCACAAATCCTCCCATTCTGAGATCTGGCTACCTGAGGGGATGTGATCTGCAGTCCCTTCATCTCACAGCATCCCCAGTGCCAGCAAGAAGGCAGAGGTGAYGGAGACAAACCAACCCCAAAACACATCCATGCAGAGTCTGTTGGCAGCCCTTGTCTGAGCTGGGGCAATCCGTGGTACAGTCAAGGAAGGCAGGCAAAGGAAACAAGGAATCAGCACCATGCAGCTCCCTGCTCTCCCACCCTCACCAGGCACAAACAACAGGTCATGTATCCATTGCTCTGACATATTTTGGGTCCTCTTCTTTGGCCMCATCCAGCCCTGTCCTCAGCACCCAGTGGCCAATCCAAGAAGCTCAACACCCACAGCATCCTCCTCCTTCCCCAGCCCTGGCACAGCCCAGCAGAGAGGGCAAAGGAGTTCTAGCCTCTYTTCCCAGGTTTCCCCCATAGCCACCAATTCCTGAAGCAGTGAGAAAGCTTTGCCCTGCATGGTGCTGCACCTCACATCCATGGCTCTTTTCTCCCTGCTCACACTTATGTCCTTAGCCCCAGTTACCTGCAGTCCTTTTCCCAATCATCTGACAAAGCCCAGCCCTCTGCAGCCCATTGCCCCCAGA